TATGCGATAAGCGCACTTACGAGATTTGAATATCATTTAAATGTGAGTTATTCTCTTTAGGATATGCATTTGCTCCCCAGTCTATGCACCTGCTATGTTTTTGCATTTTCAACGTTATTGCGACAGAAAATGCCAACATTAGCCCAAATTTTCAAAAATTTTATCACAGCAAAAAAAAACGCTGGTAGCGTTATGTAAGTGCTTGCTACATGTCATTTAACCTATAAACCAATAAAACTTTTAAATCCCAATCTATAGATATAGATTGGATTCCCAACAAACAAACAAGAATTAAATCCGGAATGTTTTCCAAGCAATTCAATTTCAATTACAATTTCATATGATAAAGTCCTCAACTTTTGAGCAAATGTACGTAGCAAGCACGTAAGAAAGTTCCAAATGCTGACATTTCAAAGCGAATCAAAACTGTTTATTTTGCACAAATGATAATTGATAGCAAGCAAGTCTTGTTTTGTCGAAAATTTGGAAGCTTTTGGTCTTGTCGCAACCGCCACATCTCATGATTTCACAGTTGATACCTCCAAAAAAAATCGTAAGTGTCTAGTATCTTCACATAACTCATTGTTTACCTTATTTGTCTAATACATACCCTTCTTCGAAAGTATGAGGGAAAAATAAAATTAACAGAGCACTTTTGAAGACAGAATTGGTGGTTAAATTTTAGTGCTGATCGATCTCTCTGTAAAGTCGTATACCCGAAATTTTTTTTTTGATAATGATCCTTCTCAAAGATTTATTTTCAATTTGTATCGAGATATTTAGTTTGTTATATACGATGGAAAAACATTGAATAGATCCAAATGTTACCTAAGCATTTTCGGATGAACTTTTCAAAAATTTCGGATGCAAAATTTATGTTCCAATAAATTATTCAAGAGAATTAGAGCATATATGGTTGACAGCACGCTCACCATTTTTAACAAAAAAACTCCGATTTTTCTTAAGTTGGTTGTGAAGACAATGCAATACATTTGAACTTATTTCTTCAGATGCTCATCTACATCTGTTCACCCTACGTTACATCAATACCCGAACTTATGCAATTTGGAATGCGATTGACAGCGATGCCTTTACACGACGCTACTAGAGACCTCATACTTCTCAATCAACAACGTCTCACCGATGTTGAAGTGAAGTGAGCAATATAGAGAATCTAAAAAAAATTGAAAATCGACAACATTTTGCACCTTTAGCCTCCAGTTAGAGGCCAACAACGAACAACTGGAGAGCATGGCGAAAGAACTCGAATCTGAGAAAATAAAAACTGGTCTGGTAGTTTTTTTTTCAAGAAATTATAGGGGTCAAATTTTTGATTTACAGATCTCATTTTGAAAGACATGCTTCCTTTACCAATAGCCAATCAACTAATGAATGGAGAACATATCGAAGCGCGTAAGTTTTCTGCCAATTCACCGGAAGTTCCGCTAGATTTTCTGAGACTTCTGGAACCTCCCCAGACTTTGTGGAAAGTCCTGCGGAAATTCCCGTTTTCAGTCATTTTGGCGCCCAGCTCCTGAGAAAGTTCCCATTTCTAGCGCTCGTTCTTCAGCAATAAACAGACCCTGTAGCAGCCGCTGCAAACATTTCTTGTCCGGCGGGAGTTCCGAGATTGTCTTGGACAGTTCTGGAA